TCCAAGGAATATTAAGATTAAGATTAAGGTCCCGAAGGTTATGCGTGCTAAAGGCTTTACATGAATGTAAGAACTCTTGTATAAATAAAATTAAATACAAAATTGTAGAAGAATTTGAGTTCAACATAATAATTATAAGTGATAGTATAGATTGTAATGGCAAAGTTGCCTGTTTTGAGTACTAAAATTGGGTGATGGGGGGGGGGGGGGGTAGCAGAGTGAGTTTGGAGCATAAGGTGGGAACTATGAGGAGGAAATTAGAAACTTTTTTGTTTTGCTTTTGAATAATTACGACGTTACGTGTAGTACGCGTCCTAAACTCATCCAGTGGTCTAACTAGAACCGTAAATGACTGACTCTATACTCTATACTCCCTGGGACTCTAAACCCCCAGGTGTCATGTGTGACACCACTGGGACTCTATACTCTAAGAATGAAGAGCAACAAGTAAGACAAAATACAACACAATGAATCTCCAGCAGGCTTGTCATTCTTGAGTGCAACAGATATAGGACTGAACATGTCTACAATATTTACAATAGTGTAGGGGAGTGCATGGTGGGGTTCAGGGTAGATTGTATACCGCTGCTACAAGCCTATAGTCACTATAGAATCTAGAATATTTTGAAAATTAAAATTATCTGAATTACTAGAAACGAAACTAACTAAGGATTTAGTGTAAGTATACACACACACACACGAATAAGTGTAAAGTGATGGAAGTATTAACAGGAGACAGTATACACAGAAGTGAAGGTACATACTTGTAGCAACTCTAAAAGGAGATCTGGGAGTGGACGCAACACTAAACCGAGCTCCAGAGGCACATATAAATAGCATAACGTCAGCAGCGTACTCTACGGTAGCAAAAGTTAGAACATCATGTTCAGGAACCTAAGTACGGAGGCATTTAGAGCACTTTGCACCGCCTACGTGAGATCAGTCTTTTTCTGAGAGTATGTTACCCCATCATGGAGTCCCCACCTGAAGAAACACATAAGGAAACTGGAAAAGGTTCAGAAATTTGCGACGAGGCTAATCCCAGAATTGCGAGGGATGGGGTATGAAGAGCGACTGAAAGAACTGAACCTGCCCACGCTAGAAAAAGGAGAGGGAGAGATATGATAGAGATGTATACAATACTTAGGGGGATTGACAATGGAAATAGAGGAAATGTTCACGTTGAATATCAATAGAACAAGGGGGCATAACATCTCTGACTCATCTAAGTCGTTGAAACTCAGATGAGTGAGAGATGTTAGAAAGTTTTCATTTAGTGTAGGAGTAGTGGGAAAATGGAATGAGCTAAAGGAGCAGGAGCAGGTTGTGGAAGCAAACTCCATTCATAACTTTAAAAAGTAGACATGATTGGAAAATAGGACAGGAGTCATTGCCTTTAAACAACCGATGGCTAGAAAGGCTGGGTCCAAGAGCTAATGCTCGATCCTGCAGGCACAAATAGGTGAGTACAAATATGTGAGCACACACACACACACACACAAAGCGTTATATATGACAAAGAGTGCTGGGTAGACGGGACACCAGGAGCGTAGCTCTCATCCTGTAACTACACTTAGGTAATTACACAATATAACTATAACTGCGTGACGCGCACACAATCCACTCCGTCAATACGTTCTCTCGATTGCCCCTCCGTAAAAATATAGTGGTTTAGCCTAACTCAAAGTGTCAAAAGTAGAGGGGGTAGAAATAGCCTAAGCTACTCTATCCCTTTGAGATGTATTTCTTTCTTATCTCAATAAACATACTTGAACTTGAACTCAAAGTGTCAAAACTAGCTAACCTAATGGAGTGGATACTCATTATTCTCAGGCAGGGTCAATACTGGGGTGTTTTCAATGTCCGTCAACCACCGCATATTTTACTGTGGTAACGATGCCGTATACAATATATCGTGTTCAGTAAGAGGAGGAGCGTCACGGGTTAAGGCTGCCTAACACCAGGAATGTGATCGATATACCATACGAAACCTTAAAAGGAGATGTATCAGTTTCGTTCAATATATACAAGAATTAGCGTTGTGTGACTATAGAGGCAAGTCATCTTCCCTTCACAGCGTGCAGATTAAGTGTAATTAATGAAATCAAATTATCCGATTCTGATTAAGGTCTGATTAAGACTTTTTGTACTCTCTGTAATTCAATATGTGCTCTTCTCACGGGATGAGTATTGGGTACACACAATAATCTTTACTGTCTTGACACAATAATCTTTACTGTCTTGACACAATAATCTTTACTGTCTTGACACAATAATCTTTACTGTCTTGACACAATAATCTTTACTGTCTTGACACAATAATCTTTACCGTCTTGACACAATAATCTTTACTGTCTTGACACAATAATCTTTACTGTCTTGACACAATAATCGTTACTGTCTTGACACAATAATCTTTACTGTCTTGACAGAAGCTCAACACGTAAGCTAATTGTTTGCGGGCTTTGTGTATTTAACATGTTCTATGCTGCTATAAGCAAATAATTCTCCATCTAAACTGGTTCATTGGTGTGTGTAGGAATAGCATATATACAGTTGTACGTTGTAGTCCATATTGCCTTAAAACGTTAAAATATTAATTTAAATTTAAAATTTGTAAAAAGAAATGAAACTTAAAATCTGTGTATGGCAGGAAACTGAATCATATGTTGCTTTTAACGTTATACAGACATTCTTAAAGTCTAGTTAATAACCTCATATGTGTGTGAGTAGTCTGAAAATACATTGAAATATGTATTGGTACCGGATCAGTAACTATGAAATCAGAAGCCTAGCTTCATTATACATTATTGCATTAGCATTCCAATGTAAATACCAGTTTTGTTTAGCCTGTTTTACTAAAACATGAATTAGTATCTTATCTTGATTTTTAAAAGTTTTTGTTTTCTAAGAGACCTATGTGTATATTGGCGGGAAAGTTGGTCCCCCGAGGGCCTATAGCTACCCGGGGGTCAATAGCCTCACAATGCTAGTTTTATCAAGCAAAAAGTTCATTCGCTGCTCTGCACGTCATACGTGACATTTTCATTAGAATACTGTGGCAAAAAGTAGCCCAAGTAGTAACAGTGTTAATATTATAAGTTACATCAGACGCTCGTTCGACAAGCCTCGCCCAAGACCTATTTTAATTGGAGAAAATATTATCTTATAAAATATGATCGTTGGGAAAAATACTTTGCATGTAGTCTTTCATTAGTAACAGTAATTTATGTATATGAGGTACAAAGGATCATATTACATTTTTATTACATTTTTTACTTGGTACAGTGTTTGTATTTTTCGAGGATAAATTAAGTCACTAATGTTTAGTTCAGTGTTTAATTTCGCACACAGGTCATTAGAGACGTGATTAGTGATATCATCACTAACATTTACTTAATAGTTATATAAAACACAATAATCCGCCATACAATAAAGAGAGTTTTTGGCGTTATCAAAAATTGTTGGAACATCGCCGCCATATTGGCCGAGTTCAAGTCGCCGAAGCGGGAAGTCCACAAGGTGTTTACTCGCTCACAGGTGCCGCCCTCACCTCTTGTGGCCGACCACAAGCCGCAGGAGTGACTGTCTCCCGCCCAACCAGCTCACCAGTAAGGAAACAAGCGCTGTCTTGGTAATTTAGAGGCGCTAACGACCGACAAAGGACGCACGCTGGACCCAGAGCTGTCAGCGGGCCACCCAGCAGGTAGGAATGGGTCAGGTCGACACTTACGCGGGTCCCGGTCGTCGACCAGGCCTCCGTCGACCAGACTGTCTTCCTATAGTGTCAAGTGGCGTCGCGTCCCATCCCAAATCCTTATCCTAATCCCTTCCAAGTGCTATATAGTCGTAATGGCTTGGTGCTTTACCCTGAAAATTCCCTCCCTTCCCTCTTCCCCCCCCCATTGTTCCTGATGATTTGTTTTCTATTTGGATTTCAAATTGAAGTAAATGACTTCTGCCTTTACGGCTTTGTCGGGTAGGCGTTTCCATGGGTTTATAATCCTAAGGGTGAACAAACCTCTTGTTTTATGTCTTACATTGTACCTTGTTGAGCTTGAAACTGTTGCTTCCTTTTATATTATATTTGACCATTTTAAAGAAGTAGTTTGATAACTAGTAAAACTCTTTTAACAAAGTTAAAAAAAGTGTTAATTTGGGATGTAATAAAACGAAATGGCACCAATTCTGACCCCCCTTTTTCGCCTGAAACATGGCGATACTTAATTACTGTACACCATCTCACACGACTGATTAATATCCTCTACACACGCTCATCGAGATCTCTAATCTTTATGACACACACACAATAACACGGTTACACGAATATTGTCAGTCTCGCAGTCGACTGATCTGACTTTGAAGATTGTCCGCCACCTATTTCCAAGATTAGTATTCGGGGAAAATGTGTACTAGTAACAGGTGTGTGTCTCTCACTAAATGGGAGTCACACTAGCGTCACACTAGCTGGGAGTGTCACACTAGCTGGGGGGGTCACACTAGCTGGGAGTGTCACACTAGCTGGGGGTGTGTCACACTAGCTGGGGGGGGGGTCACACTAGCTGGGAGTGTCACACTAGCTGGGGGGGGAGTGTCACATTAGCTGGGGGGGGGGGTATCACACTAGCTGGGGGGGGAGTGTCACACTAGCTGGGGGGGTATCACACTAGCTGGGGATGCATTGGTGCGTTAACCGCGCGCCAATACACACCAATCACCAGTGTGCGGGGGTTACAATGTTTCGTGGCACATAAATGCGACAAATATGTATCCTGCTATGTGACCGGCAGATATGGAAAGCTCAAATGTGCCAGGATACAGGTGTGTGCGACCCAGTGAGAGCTCAGTTGTGTCATGACACGTTTAACAGGTAATGGCACATGTTAATGATAACAAGTATGCAACAGGTGCGAGGGGGCAGGGAAGGGGAAGTAAGATGGTGCAACACACACACACACATGCAATCAACGATCATGCAAGCATGAAGGTTGGTGGCCTACCTAGTCGACCTGTTGGACGCACCAAAGAAAAAACACTTTTAGTCACATTAAAAACAAAAACATTTTGTATAGATATTCCTGACCATTGATGCATGCCAAGTGATTAAAGTTATACAGGGAGGGAACGAAGTCAGTGTTCCAATAATTATGCGATTGGTTTTATATATCCAACACCTGTATGAGTGACCGTGAGTGACCCCAAGTATATTTGTGTGTGTGTGTGTGTGTACTCACCTATTTGTGCTTGTGGGGATTGAGCTCTGGCTCTTTGGTCCCGCCTTTCAACTGTCAATCAACTGGTGTACAGGTTCCTGAGCCTATTGGGCTCTATCATAATTATACTTGAAACTGTGTATGGAGTCAGCCTCCATCACATCACTGCCTAATGCATTCCATTTGTCAACCACTCTGACACTAAAAAAAATCTTTCTAATATCTCTGTGTCTCATTTGGGCACTCAATTTACACCTGTGTCCCCTAGTGCGTGTGGCCCTTGTGTTAAATAGCCTGTCTTTATCTACCCTGTTAATTCCTCTGAGAATCTTGTACGTGGTGATCATATCCCCCCTAACTCTTCTGTCTTCTCTTGTGTGTGTGTGTGTGTCCTTTTTGTTCCCAAGCCAGCGTGAGTTGTTTTGAATGTTCCAATTCATGTTTAAATGGCTGCAGGTGTTACAATACATGTGTGAGTGACCCAGGTGTTGAGGCGTGTACCAAAAACATGTCACTCGGTGTTTTAAACATGGCTTAAGAGTTACCCTGGAGAGTCCCAACCTGCGCGTGAGTACTTAGCAAGGCTAAACACATGTATTACATGTTAGTATCGAATTTTTTATCAACAAATCCATAACATTAATCGAGTATATAAAATTCAAAATACAGCATTTTAGGCTGGCTGCTTAAGTATTGAATAAACATTAATTAGGTAAACATTAAGTTTTGGTAAATAATGGCATTGTGGTATATGAGGGTGTGTGGGGGCGTAAGGGCGTGGATGTGAGGGGTGTGGGCTTGAAGGTGTGGGCGGGAGGGTTGGGCGTTAAGGTGTGGGTGGGAGGGTGTGGGCGTGAAGGTGTGGGCGGGAGGGTGTGGGTGGGAGGGTGTGGGCGTGAAGGTGTGGGCGGGAGGGTGTGGGTGTGAAGGTGTGGGCGGGAGGGTGTGGGCGTGCAGAAGGGAGCGCTACTGACCTGCCCCGCCGCCCAGAAATACATCGCCGAACTGGGTGTTGGAGCGGCGTACCTTCTTGGCCCTGAGCACCTGCCTGTCGGGGACACAGGTGTGCTGTTGGTGTGGCTCTGCCTCCTTACTTGTAGAAGTAGGTCGATATTAAGGACTCACAAAGACAAGTGTCACAAAAGTTGTTATCATAGGCTAGCTTACATTATATCATGTTCAAGTATTCTCTTACCACTTTATAATGCATTAGCCTAGCCTGAGGACAGGTTGATATACACATAACCTAGTTCTAACTGCAAATAAAATTTATATATAATTTGTCTATATAGGTGCTTATTAAGGACTAGCACCATTCCTTAAATCAACAAGTTGTGTTAACAAACGCTATCACTTGGATGACTGCTTTTTGTAGGTTAACTCGCATTATTCTTTTTATGAAGTTGCTATTGTTGTATAACAATATTTTGTTTCATAAATACTTATATAAGTGGAATTTTGTTATTAATTATCTCGTGTAATTGAAGTTCTTTTGGCGGAATTAAATTATTTTCTTAAGAGGTCTACTGCGAGTTTACTTACATAATAGGAAACTTTATTATTGGTTGAACACATTAGTTAATGGTACCAGCACCGTTAAACGGACAATATTATACTCTCGGCCTTCTGGTAGGCCTTGAAACTTAGGGTTAAGGGATATAGCCTCGTAATTATTAGTATTCTGCACATTCAGTACACGTGAGAGTGAGGGCATGTGCTGCGATTGGCAATCATGCTGGCGGAGTGATGTGCTGCGATTGATCAGTAACCGCCGTGATGCCAGCCAACTAAATGTGACGTACTTGTGATTGGCGTGACGTAAATGTGATTGGTCAGTAACAGCCGTGACACCAGCTTGCTGAGCGTGAGGTGGTGTGATTGGTCATTAATGACCATAATTCCAACTAGCTGAGCGGAGAATAAGTTAGGGCAGTGAGCAAAATACGTGGAATATAGCACAGGGCCAATCAAACGCATGCCAGACCCTCATGTGCCTGGGTTGTGCAGCAGCGGAAGCCAGGTGAAGCCTCCATGTGGGTTAGGTTAGTGGGGAAGCCACTCAGGGAAGGTGAAGCCTCCTTGAGCCTGGGTTGGGGTAGTGGGGGAAGCCTATGGAAGGAGGTACAGCCTCCATGTGCGTGGGTTACAAGGAGCTTGAGTTGCTACCTGCGGGGCCTGACGGCGGTAGTGAAGGCCGGTACATCGGGGTGGCGGTACTCCCAAAGGGCTCCCCAGATCTTCAACCCGTTCTCCAGTCGAAAATTTTGGAAGTCCGACTCCTTCAGCGTGTGCAGCAGCGGTGCGAACAGGTAGATGAATACCTGCAGGAAAGACACCTACATAAGCACCTATGGTAGAGACGGGTAGATAAGCAGCTGTAGGAGAGACGGGTATACAGATATATGCGGAATGGGCAGCTGGTCTTACCTGAATGGTAGCCAGGGAGAAGTGGTAAGGGAAGACAGTCGGCTTGCTGCGGCCCTTCTCCTGGTCGGCGTCTGCGCACTCTTCCGCGGCGTCCAGGATTATCCAGTGGAGTGTGTAGAGTAACTTGGTCTCGGCAGCGCCGAGGTTTGTAATGGTCGACTCCCTCCTGCACGACACAAAACATTTGTACGTGATTGTCAAGCACGATTATTACACCTGCACACCACATAGCAATCATGTGTATTCATTTACCCTCTTGGCTTCCGTTCACTAAACCATGATTGACTTCTACGTAGTGACCCGACATATCCAGGATACATATGTTTGTGTGGAGAGAGTTACGAGCACTAGTTCTTCTGTAGTCATTGATGAAGATTAAGCCAGCCAAGAGGTGGCACGGGCAACTGTAATCATCACTGCTGTTGTTAGAAATAGTCATGAGGTCAGGTCATGAACACCTGACCTGTCCTGTGACCTGTTTAATACGTAAATTGACTTCCCCGGCATCATAGATATATAAATATTACTACTACAACTAATAATAGTTGATTACACATATGTCCTTACACATACCAAAAGGGGGAAAAGTATGGCTATGGTAACACGGCATAGTAGTTTGGTACGCCACCCATAGTACGTGAAGCATATCTGGGTACGCCCTCTAGCAGAGGAGGGAGGGTTGGCACCCACCTGTTACAGAGGGAGGGTTGGCACCCACCTGTTACAGAGGGAGGGTTGGCACCCACCTGTTACAGAGAGAGGGCTGGCACCCACCTGTTACAGAAGGAGGGCTGGCACCCACCTGTTACAGAGAGAGGGCAGGCACCCACCTGTTACAGAGGGAGGGCTGGCACCCACCTGTTACAGAGGGAGGGCAGGCACCCACCTGTTACAGAAGGAGGGCTGGCACCCACCTGTTACAGAGGAAGGGCTGGCACCCACCTGTTACAGAGGGAGGGCTGGCACCCACCTGTTATAGAGGAGAGAAGCGGCAGAGTGCATGACGTGGGGTAGGGCAGCCTGGATGAACCGCCATCGAGGTACACTCTTGATAGCGTCAGTAAGGGAAGGCGAGAGGCCGAAGAGAATATTTTGCACCAACACTTTCTCCAGAGACTGTGAAGAGTAGAGGGGCGGGGAGGAAATCATCGCACCAACACACACACACACACACACACACACACACACACACACACACACACACACACACACACACACACACACACACACACACACACACACACACACACACACACACACCTCTGTTACTCCTCACCTCTACTCATGTACAAATAATAATGATAAAACTCGCCATATTAACACAACTAATAATACATATTATTATTATAATTATTCTTATTTTAATACTATTATTATTGGGAGTAGTAGTGAAGGCGAAGGGAAGACCTAATATATTTGTAAATATATCAGAAACTAAATGTTTACTGTTCTTGATACAATGAGAAAATTGTGTACAGTACCTTGAGAAAGGCTGCAAGCTGCAAAATATTCGTGTATGTGCAAAGGCACACACACGAATATTTTGTTTTTAATACACACACATATACAGTATTGGGTCTTCCCTTCACCTTCATTCAAGCACTAAGGCATTGTAGTAAGTTTCTCCGTTAGTAGTAGTAATAATTATTGTTTTTATTATAATCATTATTATCATAATAATTAGGATTTTTACTTTTATTAATATTTTATAGGCATTGCTTATCAAAGTATTAGAATCAGTTACTGTTCTACCAATCATTAGTCACAATATAATAATACTGTAATAATAATAACAATAATAATAATAATAATAATAATAATAATATCAATAATAATAATTACTATAATTGGCTTTACTCTAAACTGATATAAATAAATATATACATTTGCTACATAAAAGGTCATTAGTATTACTTTAGGAATTCCTTACCACTACCACAAAAAGTCCTCATTACTTCCATAATAGGTCATTGTCATTACCATAACTGGTTCTTTTTTTATGCCATAAAGGAGTTCTTCATCTCCACAAAAAGTGTTAGTCACTTCCATAAAAATGTGCCACTACCATAAAAAGTCTTCATCACTAGCATAAAATGTCCTCATTACTACCATAAAAGGTCTCCGTCACTACCACAAAACGCCCTCATCATTGCCACAAAAGGTTATCACTACTACAAAAGGTTGTCATCACTACAAAAGGTCGTTATCACCACTACAAAAGGTTATCACTACTACAAAAGGTCGTCATCATCACAACAAAAGGACTTCATCATTACCACTCAAGGTCATCACCACGAATGGTTCTCATCACTACCACAATAAGATCCTTATCTCTGCCACAAATGGCCTGCATCACCGTCACAAAAGGTCCTCATCATTACCACCACAAAAGGTTCTCATCACTAAATAAAAAGGTCCTCATCACCGTCACAAATGGTCCTCATCACTACCACAAAAGATTCGCATCACTGCCACAAAAGGTTCTCATCACAACCATAAAAGGTCCTTATCAGCAAAAACAGGTCCTCATCTGCCACAAAAGGTCCTCATCTGCCATAAAAGGTCTTCATCTGCCACAAAAGGTCTTCATCTGCCACAAAAAGTCCTCATCACTATCAGAAAAGATTTTCACTGCCACAAAAGTCCTCATCGCTACCACAAAAGGTGCTCATCACAACCATGAAAGGCCCTCATCACAACCACAAAAGGTCCTCATCACCACAAAAAGGTCCTCATCTGCCACAAAAGGTCTTCATCACCACGACCACCAAAAGGTCGTCGTCACCACCATAGCAATACCCCCGTCGGCTGCCTAGTAACCAACACCCTACCACTATCCTGCCAAATACACCGTCATAACACTACGGCGTTTGTCACGTGGAGTATATATAAGTAATGTTGGGTTATTCCATGCATGCTGCTGCTGCTCCGTAGGTTCCTGCTCTCCACGGCGCCAGCTGTGTGGAGGTAGTTGTGCACAGTTGTGGTGGTTATGGGAGGTTTGCGGGGTCATGGTTGCAATGGTTTAAAGTTCTCTGGGGGGGGGGAGGGGGGATTTACTACCAGATAGGCCTAACTTGAAGATATCATGCAATATACATATCATTTTATAGACTTGGCCAGGTCAGTGTTGCATGATAACGAAAAAATTGCTTAACAGGAACACTCCCTAGACATGTATATATATATCGACTTGAAAAACTGATTACCATGCAAGACATGTTACCGACACCGCTACAACACGAGGTGAGCGCCATGCAGAAACTGTCGCCACTTTCAGACAAAAGAACTTAGCATTGCCATGTACAGTATAAATCATTAATATTACGGTTCGTGATTCGTACCGATTTACCTGACTTGGACACAGGTAACCGACTGGGCTACTGCAGTACCTGACTGGGATATTGTAGTACCTAGGCTACTGCAGTACCTGACTGGGATATTGTAGTACCTAGGCTACTGCAGTACCTGACTGGGTGGGATATTGTAGTACCTAGGCTACTGCAGTACCTGACTGGGATGCAGCGATAACTGCTTTGGGATATGACGGAGCATGATTGGGATAGAACAGTACACCCAAGATTGACTATGTAAGGCATCAGTTATACAATATATGTTATGTAATTATAACCTGAGCTTGTAAAAACCTCTTAATCACCGTCAGTGGTTAAGTGCTTAATAACACACTAGTTTCTATAGCAGCTATCTTAACCTCTCAAAGTAAGAGAGACTTGAATGTTATATATATATATATATATATATATATATATGTCGTACCTAATAGCCAGAACGCACATCTCAGCCTACTATTCAAGGCCCGATTTGCCTAATAAGCCAAGTTTTCCTGAATTAATATATTTTCTCTATTTTTTTTCTTGTGAAATGATAAAGCTACCCATTTCATTATGTATGAGGT